CAGCAAAGTCTGTTAGCCCACATGTCTCCTTCTTTACCACGTTAAAGCGATTGCGTGTGTCCATGGACTGGTTAAGAGGCAGCACTGTGCAAATGTTGAGATTCGTCGCAAGTTTCACTTTCAGTTTAAGCGGCTTAAATGAAAATGCCAGTTCGGATTCTTCTCAACCACATCTCTCCAAGTGGGCCTCTTTTCGTCAATTTATTGTGATGGTGCAGAATTTTCTGAGTTCCCTACGACGTCAGTCATTCATCAGATGACGTGCATTTGTTTTTCACAATGATACAACTGGCTCGTATCATGCGATAATATGCTGACCGAAGAGGTCGCATGAAGTTCTGGACACCTCCTGCCCCACACTGTGATTTTCTGTCTCTTGGTTGAAATATCGAAATGGGGGACAGGGTACGATTAGATGGTGGAGCATTCATAGATCGGGGTTGATTTTTTTTGCAAGCTCTGAATTAACATTATTTCTTCAAATTAATATTTATACATGAATTAAAATTTAATTCAATATTGCCATCTGGTATTGAGAATTTATGCGTGATTTTTCAAAAATTGGGTGTATATCGCTTTTCGGAAATCTGGACATATTTTGATATTTTTCATGCCCATGTTTTCACTGAAACAATGATTTTAATAAGTTTCTCTTTCGCCTTCTCCAGAATGACCTAATATGCAGTAAGAAAGCCGCAGGGATTTGGAGTGTTCGGTTTTATTTTTGAGGGCACGGGTTTAATTTTATGGGCATAAATTTTCATAGGAGGCTCCTAAATATAAATGCACAGTGTTTAGCTTCACGTTACTTTCTAAACTAATTATTTGTCATTAAAGTTGTTTTAACTACAGTACACCTGCTGCTGTAGCTCTTCATCCGCTCCGCTTCTTGCTTCGGTCTCTCAAGAGGAAAAACTAATTGATGGTTGCTTAGTTCCAGGTGGACAAAGAGGCACGAAATCAAGTGATCGTCCTTCCAGTGCACTACGGACAAGAAAATTGCGAAGAAGAAGCTCGGTTAAGAAACACAACAGATGTTCGTGCGGAAATGACCGACTCTGAAGAAGACGAGGAAGACGAGGGCGCCTAATAGGTCTATTGATTCCCCAAACTACTGCTACACTGGATTTCACTTTTTGTTTGTCTTCATACTGTACCATGTATAGTTACTGTAAGTCTAACCTTAAAAATCCGATTCAGTAGGACGGGAGTCCAATGATACTGGGTTGAACAGGGATTACCCGCTGTTTTTACTTCTGCCATAAGTTTCTCAACACAACTGAAGGTAAACAACAAGCACCGTTCAACAGATTAATCACGAAACGTTCTCAAACCATTCTGCTTAGGAATTTTCTTTCACTTTCTCGAAATCGGCTAGCATTTCGGCAGCAGTAAAATTTCAACGCCATCCCTACCCACATGTTACACCAACAGAAGTTTTTTCCTCTTTGGTTAGGCTCATATAAAAGCAAATGTCTCATAACATTATATAGCCCACAAAAAACTGAAAGTTGGTGGTTCTGGATGGTACAGAGATACCAAAACGATTGATAGAATTTGAAAGCCATTATTCGAAGTCAAAGGCCTAGTTCATATATCTGGAACTGATTCTGAAGTTTGTGTACTGGAAAGGAATTTTAGCTCCCGACTAATGGATGCATAAAGACGTTTTTGTGGCAGAAGTCGATCTGAAAATGGCATAGAAGAGACCAGACTTGCGGGGCGAATTACAGTTTGGAAATGACGCACTAAGAGCTCAAAGGCTGCTCAACCCGCCTGTAATTTCACTGAGTCATTGGTGGGTTAGCGCAACTTTTGAACTCTTGCTGCCCCATTTTCAGACCGACTTCGCCACGACAAGGTTGAACTTTAGTGCCCCGTTTTCAGACCGTACTGCGCCGTAGAAACCATATGTATCGACTAGTTAGGCTCTAATGTTCCTTCCCATTACATAGTCTGCAAGATTAGGCTTGTAGTGAACTACTCTTTGAAGCGGGAAATCTCTGATCAACTCAATATGTGCCCCACCCATTTGTATAACCCAAATGATGCGTAAGTCTGATCGTTATCGACTTCTTTTTTGTTTACATGATTTATTGGTGTTCCTCTTGAATCTTATCACCAACTTCATTGTTGTTGTTGTTTTTGTGATCGTTTTGTTGTTGTTAGAAATGATTCGTTATCAAGTTATACAAAGATCATACATTATGCTTTTTCTTTTGATTTTCAACCGTTGAACGGTTCATATCTCGGAATATTCCTTTCATTCATGCTTAAACCTTTGCTGAAACGTCTGGCACATCAGAGTACGTGACATTCCAATCCAATTGCTTCTTGAGTCATTCTTTTTCTATTTGCGTCATGCCCATTTCCAAGATTTATTCGTTATATTCCTCCTTTAGTTCTCAGTTCTGGGCGATTTGCCAGACAATTTTTGATGCTTGTCTTATTCATCTCATTGCGACAGCCTGTCATTTCATCCAGACGCTTTCATGACTTTAATCCGCGNTTTCCAAGATTTATTCGTTATATTCCTCCTTTAGTTCTCAGTTCTGGGCGATTTGCCAGACAATTTTTGATGGTTGTCACATTCGTCTCATTGCGACAGCCTGTCATTTCATCCAGACGCTTTCATGACTTTAATCCGCGACGCGATCTTCCTGATATCCGCTATTCGTAGGCTTATCCTCCACAACCGCCGCCGCCCGTCGCTCCGAGTCGCTGCCGACGACGAGTCATCCTCCTCGGATCGGAGCTGGCGTCTTTTTCGCGTTAAACGGCGCTATGGAGCCGAATACTCTACTTGTACATGGTGAGTTTCCAGTTTGTTCCACAAATAGCTTTTAGGGGTTTTTCTCGAATCGGAATAGGTTAATGGGGCGGATGACTCTCGTTGGTCTTGTGGTGGGATCGGCAACCCGATAGTAATTGTTGATCCAGTGCAATGCAATGTACTACAATACAATACGACACCAGTAAAAAACAGTTATTACAATGCAACACAATACTATTCAGTGAAGTGTGTACTGGCTTTCTGTAGCTCTTTTTTCGGAGTCAAGTTTTTTTGAGATCACATTTCATTTAGCTTCTGGTAGAAATCAGAATCTGGATCACAGTATAAAAAATTTGATTGAATACCCATATTCGAAAGGTGTTTCGACGGCATTGGATGTTTTCAAGAGCTTCTCTCAGATAACACCCTTGGGGAATAGCTTACAGTGACTGGAATCATGGGGAACCATAGGCTTATAGATGATGGTCAGGTGAGTAGAGTTGGACGTGTAGAAGGGATACCAATAAGCCCATCGGTCTTCGGAAGAGTACGGATTTCTATGATGCTGACAGATAACAAAATTTGTTTTCGCCATCCGATTACTACTTGGTAAAGGAAGTAAGAGGTGCAAGTAATCCGAGTTCGTTTCGAAAATTGGAATCGGTTTCCACCATCGAAAATAAATCC